TCAGAAACTAAAAAACACTCATCTGGTGTTTGACTGATATTACCAATATTCAAAATTGAAGGAACTTATGGATCAGAGAAGTGACATAAAAACACAAAGAGTCCAAATATCATTATAAACATGATCTTTTAAACGACATCTTTTGCACAAACACAGGCAAGTAACTGACTAACTCTCTCAAATCAGGAAGAGCTGACAGAAACATGGAAAGCCGCAGTAGAGAAGTACAAACGTACAGACCCGACTGTTTCTCTGAACGCTGGAGATTTCTCAGTTTATGTAAGTTATGTTGTATTTCAGGGCTGATATGCAGAGTTAAACTAGACTGCAGGTGTTTAGATGCAGGTTTTTGCACTGAAATAAGATGCTCAGCTGTTTACTGAATTCACCGCTTCATCTCAATGTAATTATGAGACTAAAATTGGCATGAAAGGCAGAAATTGTGATAAAAAAACTAACATTATGACATCAAATTTGAAATTGTGAAATAATAAACCATAATAATGAGATAAAAATGTGAAACTATATGTATGTATGTTATAATTGTGGCATAAAATGTTAAATGACATAAACCATCATCATCTAAACCTCTGTAATCCTCAGTAAGAACTTTTATGACAGAAATAAAGTCAGTCTGGTTAATAATGAGTGAAGCTGGTGATGCTGTTTGTGGAGTTATTTAATCATCCTCTGCTGAGATCACAAAATTGTTAATGTCTTCTTTTATTTCAGATGATTTTAATATCTAAGTCTGTGGCTGGAATTCACTTGTAGTTCTTGTTTAAGTTAACTATTAGTTTTAAAACTTAAATGGTTTAAGGTAATCGGTTATCTAAAACGGGTTGAGTTACCCTAACTTGTTGGGTTTTACAGTGTGTAGAATAACTGCAGCACAGCTTAAGATAAGTGCAGTTTAATTACATTCCCAATAATTTAAATGCAAATATAGTGAACTGTTGTACTTTATGGTATCAAAGCTAAAGATCATGGCAGCAAGTAAAGGTCATGTCAATACAGCACAACTACAGATCAGGCCAGAAAACACAACCACAGCTGCAGTTACTGCAACTTTACAAACTGAACTCAACAGCAGCTGATAGCAGCTAGAACTGCATTTACAACTGCACTTTCTGGAATATATGTCAGCTATTGTTTACGTTTAAACATAAACATTTCAAGCAGAATGTTCAGATATTTGTTATACGTATTAGTCTCTTATCTTCCTCTTCTTTCACTTTCGTTTTAGCTGGGCTCATATGAAGGACACTCGCGCACTCTCTAGCGGCGCAGAGCAGCAGCACAATCTCATCTGAGACTCACAGCAGCTGTGCTGTTACAGTTTTGTTCAACTACTTTACATACATTCTCAAAACTTTGCCTCTTTTATTTTCAAAACTTTACACACAAATCCAAGAATTGCACACACAAAATGCCTCAAATCTCTTGCAAAATGAAGCACTGCATTCAAAATATCACAAACATATTTCAAAAGCAAACACCTTTAGAAATGTAACGTTCCCAGAGTGTTCTCAGAATGTTCCAGCTGGTGTCAATGATGTTCCCAAGACATTCAAAGATGTGAGATGGTCAAGAGCTCACCTAAAGCAAACACTGATCACCCTAATGGTGACTTGAAACGAAACATTCAACATCTAAACCTCTGTTCTAAATAATGTGTTTTTTAGACAAACTGGTTAGTAAAAAGTGAAGCTGGTAATGCTGTTTGTGGAGTTGTTTAATCCTCCTCTGCTTGAGATCTTGAGAGATTTGAAAGAGAGAGTTCATCTAAGGCTGTGACTGGAAGTCAGTTGTGTTTCTGTTTGTCTCTTTTTTTCTGTTTCTCTTTCCTTCAGTAATTCTGCTTGTTAACATTCGCATTAAGTTCAACTCTGCTTCAGAGTACAAGTAAAAGTACTGAACAATAATATGACTCAAGTAAGAGTGAAAAAGTAGTTTGCTGAAAAACTACTCAAGTTAATGCATTACAAAGTACTTTAGTATTACTTTTCTATTTTTACACAAAATGAGACGATGTGAGCATTATGGAGCAGGGTTAACCCTAATCCTAACACCAATGTACTGTAATGTCTGTCCCAGGAAATCTCTTATATGGACAAATAAATCAGATATCACTACAGCTGAATAACATGCAGATAGAGACACTTTGACTGATGAAACGTGGAAGACAATAAACACAAAATTGCAATGCTAATTGACATAGCTTGTATCACAGTATAGAATTTAAAAACAATATTTTCTGTCTCACTGTGATAAGAAGCAACATGGAACCACAGAAGCTAACTGTTTCAAACCCGACTGATGTTATATAGTGATTTTGGAGCAAAACATGATATTAGTCTCATAAACTGTCACGTTTGACGCTATGTTAAGCAAACATACTACCTGTCCCTGTTGCCAGAAGCAACTGTTTTACAACTAATTTTGAAAAGTACATTCACGTATAAGATTGTGTGGTTGTTTTTAAGAAGGGCAAAAGCAATGAAGGGTAAGTGGAGGTTTAAAAGAAAACAATTTTAATGATTCCAATTCTTGTCAATTCCTAATTTCAATTCCAATAAGGTAATAAATAAATAAATAAATAAATACAAATCTTGGATATCATCTTATTACAACATATTTAATTGTTAGCTGAATACTATGAATGAAAATCAACAGGCTAAAGAACACTTACACAAGGATGTGTGTGCAGCAGAGAAGATAGCCAGTGAGTCTTCTTGACTTGAATGGTTTAAAATCACATTGAAAGTGTAGTTTGTTATAATAACAAAGGTGGACTCCAGGCACATTTTCGGTAGGACAAAAAAAGAGCATTTTATTTAAAATGTTAACCCATATAGGCTTGGGAATCCAAAATCTATTCCAATTCTGGAATATGATGCTTAAGGTCAGGAATCGTCTACTTGTTATTAAATTAAAATATCGATTCCTCTTATCAATTCCTTTGTGCGCATTTTAATATGACTTTAAACCATTCAAACACAAGAAGACTTGTGCACTGTTTTCTGTCCTGCACACATAGCAGCGTGGCCATCATTTCACAAATGAGGGGGACAGAAATGTAAAAAAAACAAACAAAAAAAACTTTTGACTTTTGTCTAATTGACAGGCTTTATTTTTTTCTTATTTATTTTAATTGGCTAAGAAATCAAATACACTGCTGGACGATAACCAATCATTTGTATTCTATACTATTTTTTTCTGTATTTTCTTAATGACAATTTTAGTATTGGTTTATACAAACACATAATAAGGCAGAATAGTTTCTATACTGTAATACATGTTATGTCAATTAGCACTGCGTTATTCATATACTATTTATTACTTGGAAATTACCTGAAATTGCCTTTTTTTTTTAAAGCTACAGCGATAGCAGGATGCCTTTGTCCATATTAGGGATTTCCTGCACTTCATAAGTTATTATATATTACTACTTCTAGGCTGTTTTGGACTTTCTGCGCAAGAGCGCCCTCCGGTTTCGAGTATGAATGAAACATGAAACATGCGAAACATTATTTCAATGTTGTTGTTAATGTTGAGGTTATTTTAGCTTCGTACATTTAGTTTAACTGCACTGTTAAAAGAGTGCGATTTTTACATTCAACTGAACTGTGCGCATGTATTTTAGACACTTACATTGTTCTTGCTCCATCCATGCAATAATTCTATCGACCGAGTTTTCTATTTACTTAATACTGCTGTGTGCTCTGGTAATATCAACGGCATGACCCATTTCAGGAGCTGACAAAATTATGATTTAAAATCAGAGCATAGCTCACTAAAATTCACTAAAATATTGAAACGCTATGCTGATTCAAAACGACAACGCCGGTGATTGACAGTCAAAGCAAAGTGAAGTTTTGATTGGTTTTGCACCCGAGTCAGACCTGTCTGTTATTGCCTGAAGCGCAGGGCTCCATCCCAGGAGTTTGAAAAGTGCCCGTCAAACGCCGGCTCGCTCTGTTTCTCCATCGGCGCCTCTTTTGTATATTTGTATTTTATTTTTTGTACTTTTGGTGAAAAATAAATGTGGCGAAGTTGAATACTTTAGTTTTATGATACTCAAGAAAGTAGAAAAAATGACAAAATGTACTCAAGTACCGTAACAAAAGTATTTGTAATTAGTTACTTTCCACCTCTGACTTTAACACACTGTATTGTGGGACCAAATACACTCTGAGCAGTGCTAATCCCTGAAGGTCCTCCAAATAACGTCCCCCAACCGTTAAAAGAGCTCCTCATCATGACCATCTCAGAACACTCTGGGAACACTACATTTCTAGCGAGGAAATCCATTTACCTGACATGAGTGCATCCATGTCATCCACCAATGAAAAAACAGGCACAAATTTGGTTAACGGCTTGCGGCGTGACGTAGGCAGCAATGTGATTGGATGATATTTAACACATAATGTGTTGGACACACTGTGCTGTTTCTCTCTCTCTCTCTCTCTCTTTCTTTTTACACATGATCAACTTAAAATTACACAAAATGTGTTAAAATGGCCATAACACAAAAATGTGTTATTAATTAACTCATCATTTTTGAGAGTGTATTTTATTATTTACTTCATGTTTGGCTCTGTCTGGGAGGGTTTTGAACATTAACGAGTCGGTGGGACTTTATCAGCAGCAATTCCCACTCTTTTGCTGCAAACCCCCAGATATCAACTAAAAAGACCAGCACACCTTGCAACCACCAAAGCCTTAAAGCCCACCTCTACACTTTATTACCTTTATTTACACTTTTTTTAATATTTACTTTATTAGTTTAAATACTTAATTTGTAAACTGCCATTAAATGAAAAAGAAGTAGATCTTGTATTAAACTATTTAATATTTGTTGAGTTAGATTTTTATTCATACTGTATTTGTTCGGTCACATAATGCAGTTTAAGGCACAACTGCTTGAGACTCAGCTGAGAATGTGGTTCTGCTCTGTGCCACTAGAGGGAGCACAGAGACTCCCCAGAACCGAAAGTAAAAGAGGAGGAAGAGACACCATTTCGAGCCTTTAAATCTACACTCACTGGTTGTTTAAAAGAAGCGTATTGTGGTAAGTTTAAAACATTTTCTTCATATAACCGTGTAGGTATGCAAAAATGAGCTGCTGTTCATGCTCTCCTTTGCACGGAATTTCAAGCTCGGATAATTTTATTGCGTCAGTTTAATGTGGAAATTTCTGACCAAAACGGCTTAAACTTCGTTGATTAAAGTGCTTTTTGATATTTACTCAGACATTAATTTTTTTCATTTTGCATTATTTACACACTATTTTTGTATGCAATTCTGTTCAGTTGCTTTGACAATCTGTATTGTTAAAAGCGCTATATAAATAAAGGTGACTTGACTTTACTTGACATTTTCATATCGTCGTTGTCTAATACTAACTATTATAGACTGTAAGTAGAGGTGTGATGTTGGGTAATAGTTGCTACTATGCTAAATATGATTAGTTAATTTGTATTTAATCCAGTTGAAAACTGATCAAAAGCATGATGGGAAACGACTGACTGAAGACACATAATGCTCAGTGGTTCAGACAACCGTGATGCTGGGTTCTCTTCTAAACTGTTTTATTTTTTTTATCTCATGTGATTATGCATTTAAATTATGCATGAATGTTCCCAAACACATGACAGTGCGATCTCTGTGTGAGATATGTGATTGTTGTCATATTTCTATAAAAATCTAAAATACATGTTTGTATTAAAGTAAAAATGGATGATAAATACACCTTTCGTATGGAATTAAATAGCAAGCACTTTGAGTGTCTTATTGATGATATTTATTTTCATATAAAAGCAACAGAACTGAAATGATATCATGTTAATCAGCAGGACAGCACATGAGTGAGAATAACATGATATCTGTCTTTGATCTCGTAGGTATCTGTTCACTTCGAGAGGTCAGAACTGTCCGTCTCAACTGTGCTTAGTTCACTCCTCCCCTCACTGCAGTGGCCTACTCTCGCCTACATTTCAGGTGAGGCGAGGCGCATCTCAAACCAGCCTAATCCGACACAGCGGCCTCGCCATCGCGAGAGTTTTTTGGCACACGTCAGCATGACATCAGAGCAAGTCGGAAGTAACTCGGACACTTTTCTAACCGGCATGCATCTCGTGGTGATCGGTTCTGCGCAGATTTTGCTCGTCTCAAACAAGCCTAGAGTTCTGTCTCGTTTTAGTGAAGTGACGTCACTAGTGACGTTCAAAGCCTCATTTGGTTGAAGTGCTTTGAGAAAGGCTCCACTTTTGGCAGAATCGAGCATGAAGACAATAGGCTTGTTCGACTTCACGCGGTGCCACAAAGATCAGCTGCCGCCTGACAAAAGCAGTGCATTCTGGTTACAACATTTGTCAGACTTTGATCGGCGCTGCAGCCGCCTTACGATCACATGTGCCATCAAAGTACCGCGAGAGCACAACGAGAGCAGCCGCCGAGGTCAGGTGCTGCTGTTGCTCAAACTCGGCTGCGAAAGCCTTGATGACAACACACTTGATTCTCATTGGTCAGATTCTCTGGTGACGTGTGTCGTGTGTTTTTTCTTAGGCAAGTTCCTGTATTTAACCAATCTTGATATTGAATATATCTAATATTCAAATAAAAGTTTTTTTTTGTTACAAAACACACAACACGTTAACAAAAATTAAGATTAGGCTATCTAGTCAATATAAATTCGTATTGTATAAGCACGAAAAGCACGACGTGTACGGAAAACACGAAGTGTCCGAGCTGACGGCCGTCTCTTTACTCCTCCCCCGCCTACAACCGGCAGGCCTCGCCAGTCAGTGACAGGCTAGTGTGGGTCATCTCGAACAAGCCTATTTGAAGAAATATTGTTTTTAAACTTCCACTACAATCCACACTCATCATATTTACCCTCTTTTATCCAGTCTAAATAACGCCATCATTTCCCTGTGTTCGACAAAAGCACTGCTGCCCAGTTACACAATTATGAAAAATGATGAAACATTATGAACCCAAGCATATATAACACTGAGCATAAAAAAACTTTTATTCCTATTATTTTATATATACTTTTACCTAAACATTCCTTGACGCAATGTCACTGTTATGTATGGCATCAAAAAACCTCGAGAGCAGTCGGCTGACTCAGCCTGCACAGTTTCTTCTAATGATGTGTCGTGCATGAACGATTCGTTCAATTTGAACTAATCTTTAATATGACTTGGGAACATAGAGTCGTCTCAATGAGGGATTCGTTCATTTTGTGTTGACCGCGCATGCACGACCTCCTATTGTTTTTTTTTACAGGAAACAGAAATGATTAGTTCACCTCTCGAGTATTTGTGTTCGGGTTCGAGTCGTTTGTTCATCCCGTGACAGTCCCATAGACAACTATGCAGTCTGTACTGGAAAGAGAAATTAGCTCACCTCCTGAGTCTTCGAGTCTGAGTCGTTCGTTCTTTTGTCACCTGACGTGACAGCACTATTGGATACAGAAATTAGTTGTTATTATTATAAGTAGTATTATAGTTATTATTATAGAATTAGCAGCCTTCCTTACAAACACGTTTACAGTTATGTGATGCGTTTCTGGTCTCAAATTGTAGCTTTTTTATTTCTTACAATTTATACATTTGTGAATTTCTGTCATGATGGTTAACATTGAATGTGGAGGCTTTAAACTTTATCCTTATGATGAGGAAAAATCACTTTGATAAAGCAAAGATACCTATAAATAATAACCGCATATATGTAATGTTTGTATAATTTTTTTTGTAAGATATTGAGCCGGGAAGTGGGCACGTGACAAAAAAAACCCAAATGACTTGAACCCGAAGACTCGAGAGATGAACTAATCAATTCTGTTCCTGGGACAGCATAGCGTTATAGCCTATAGGGCAGGATGAATGAACAACTCGAACCCGAAGACTTGAGAGATTAACTAATCAATTCTGTTTCCGGTACAGACTGCATAGCTTCAGTTTATGGGGAAGTGATGTGACAAAAGAATGAACGGTACAGATCGGGAGGTGAGGTTAACTGAGACTACATAATGTTACCTGAAACAATGAATTTATCGTTTCTGTTTCTAATCATTTGGCCTTGGTCGCATTATAGTTTTATTGCATTAACAACGTCTTATTCGAAATGCGTAAGTAGATGTGTTGTAGAATTTGGCTATTAACATGTAGGCTAACATTTTAATTATATTCTGGTGAAATGAACGAAATTACTTGAAAAAAGATTTGTTCATTTTGATGAACGAGATTCAAAGATCCAAGTCAGTAAAGTGATCCGATCTTTTATTCTAACATCTTTAATTACAATAATGCTCACAAATCTGTGTTTTTAGTACATGAAGCGCGCTGTCGTAGGAAAGTAACACGGAGGCCACTGAAATAATCGTTTACACATTCATTTCTAAACTGATGTGCTGCAAAATCCAGTGAATTTGCGAACAGGTGATGAGGAGGACGAAGATAAGGAGAAAAAGAGCAAAGTTTTTAAATATTTACAGTATGATCTCTAAAGCCTGAGCTGCCACTGCAATACTTATGAGTTCAACACCACATTGTTTCTCCACTGACTATATCCGCAACTGTCTGTCATAATGAATGATCAAAGAAATACAAGTATGTAAAATCTGTGGAGTAAAAGTCGCATAAATTCCATTTTGACTGTTCAGACTGCGCTGCAAAACATCTGACTTTAATTGAATTTAGTACCACATATGGAAGTGGCCCAAATCATCATCAAAAAGACCAGATACTATGTGGGTTGTGCTGTTCACACTGTCATTATACAAATAATCTGAGTCACATATGAGCACGAGTGTCAACATAGCCTAAAGCTCTGTTAATTCTCAAAAAGAACTGCTGTAGTCATCTAGCTGCAGAAATAAAGTCAATCTGGTTAGTACTAACCCAGATAGTACACGTATGTCTGCAAGATGTTTTTGCTTCATCTGGAAAGCATCTGCTGTGTACAAACATCTACACTGAACAAAATTGTAAACGCAACACTTTTGTTTTTGCCCCCATTTTTCATGAACTGAACTCAAAGATCTAAGGCTTTTTCTATGTACACAAAAGGCCTATTTCTCTCAAATATTGTTCACAAATCTGTCTAAATCTGTGTTAGTGAGCACTTCTCCTTTGCCGAGATAATCCATCCACCTCACAGGTGTGGCATATCAAGATGCTGATTAGACAGCATGATTATTGCACAGGTGTGCCTTAGGCTGGCCACAATAAAAGGCCACTCTAAAATCTGCAGTTTTATCACACAGCACAATGCCACAGATGTCACAAGTTTTGACGGAGCGTGCAATTGACATGCTGACTGCAGGAATGTCCACCAGAGCTGTTGCCCATGAATTGAATGTTCATTTCTCTACTATAAGCCGTCACCAAAGGCGTTTCGGAGAATTTGGCAGTACATCCAACCGGCCTCACAACCGCAGACCACGTGTAACCACACCACACCAGCCCAGGACCTCCACATATCTTCACCTCCAAGATCATCTGAGACCAGCCACCCGGACAGCAGCTGCAACAATCGGTTTCACCTGTGCAATAATCATGCTGTCTAATCAGCATCTTGATATGCCACACCTGTGAGGTGAATGGATTATCTCGGCAAAGGAGAAGTGCTCACTAACACAGATTTAGACAGATTTGTGAACAACATTTGAGAGAAATAGACCTTTTGTGTACATAGAAAAAGTCTTAGATCTTTGAGTTCAGCTCATGAAAAATGGGGGCAAAAACAAAAGTGTTGCATTTATAATTTTGTTCAGTGTAATAGACGTCTTTAAGATGTCATTTTTATGTACATTTAGGTCTAATCATGATTATTTGATCTAACCGTGGTTGTTTCAGACGATTATTGTGCTTTTTATATGGCACAAGGGGGAGTCATACACCTAAAGAAACAGAAGTGCACCAGTTTGGTTTTCATGCACTGTATAGCCTATATCATCTGAAGCCATTCCATATCTTAATGTGAGGGATAGAATTGTATTTACATTGTTAAATTTAAGTTTAAAGAAACTCATCTTCCTTCTGCTGCAGCTGTCAGTCATTCTCCGCTCAGCATTCAAACAGCACGTCACGTTCAGTTATGACAGTCAGCATAAAACTCTCTCTGCAAGATGATATATTCTAGGGGTGGGCTATATGAGCTGAAATTCATATCATGATATTTTACACTATCCAGGCGATATCGATAGTATATTGTGATTATGAGAAAAAAAAATACAGGCAATATATTTTAACCTTATATAACTAGAAAAAGTGAGGGAAATCGGTCAGGGCTGGCCAAAAAATGGCCGTGAGCTGGATCCTGTTCTGGTGCCTTTCTTTCGCATCTGTGATGAACTGTGTGTTGATGGTGCGCTGGTGATGAGAGGTGAACATCGTGTTATTGTTCCTTCTGCGTTACGCAGTGAGCTAGTAACCCTGGCGCATGAGACACACCAAGGAATTGTTCAAACTAAACGGAGGCTGCGTGACTTATTCTGGTGGCCTCAGATGGATGCTCAAGTGCAATCCGCAGCTTCTTCCTGCTTGACTTGCCAAATGAATGATAAATCAGTAAAAACTGCACCTGCTCCACTTCAGCCTGTCAGTCTGCCATCCGATCCATGGCAGAAACTAGGAATCGATATAGTCGGACCGTTTGAGAGTGGACCTTTTGCCATCTCCTTAGTGGATTACCACAGTAAGTGGCCTGAGGTGGCATTTGCACCAAATGTTACTGCAGAGATGGTCACATCCTTCCTTCAATCAGTATTCAGTAGGGAGGGCAATCCTCAGTGTGTCATAATCAACAACGGCCCTCAGTTTCTCTCCAGCTTGTTTGCAGCTTTCTTAAAAGAGGGGGGAATAAGTCACATATGTAGTAGTGTGTACTACCCGCAGTGCAACAAGGCTGTGGAACGTTGGAACAGAGTTCTGAAGGAATGCATCCTTTCTGCAGAACAAATGGGGAAACCATGGAAACATGCAGTGGCTGAGTTATTGCAAAATTATAGAGCTACTCCAAACAGTACTACAAGTGTGTCTCCTTCTGAACTTTGACATCATCGCAAAATGCGTACAAAGCTGAAATAGCGGGCTATATGCTAATAGCGGACTCGGAAGTCAAAAATAGAACTAGTGCTAACAAAGCGCTGATTGTTTTTGTTGTAGAATACGATAGGGGATATATTCACACGTTATAAAACTGAAAAAGGATGGTGTATAAAATTTATTTTAAGATAAAAAATTAGACGACAAAGAATTAACTTGACGGAGCTCAAACTCAAACCACACGGCTTGAGTAACAAGCAGCTTAAGAGTAAACGTACACAGACAAAAGATGTGGAGCCAAGTATCACACTTTCAAACCAGGGGACCAGGTGAGAGTGAAAAGACCTGTTCATGTGAAAAAGGGAGCTTCCAAGTTCTCTCCACCCCTGAACATTGAGCAACCAATTGGGAGATGTACTTTCATGCTGAGGGACAAAAAGAAATGGAATACATCCAAACTAACACATTTCACAGGTCCTGTTGCTACTCAACATGAGTTTTACAAGTGACATTTAATCCTAGGAGGCGTAGCAGAGTGTGTAGATCACCTGTGTGGTTGAAGGAATACAGCAAAGTTACCCGTTGAAACTTTATACATGCTTGAAAAAAAATAAAGAAAAAAATGCATCTTGTTTTGGTGTTACACTAAGTTATGTGAACCGTCACAATTACCTGAAGTGCCTGAAATCTTTAGGGCTACTAAAGTTTTTCAGTCAAGAGCAGTGAGTGATTTTCTGTCTTTCTTTTGTTGCTTGATTAACATCAATGACTCGGACAATAGCAACTAAATTAGGCTGATGTCCCTTTAAAACTGAATGCACAGCTGCATTGAATGCAATGTACTGATACACGTTCTCCCTGCTGTTTATGTTCACTTAAGACGTAATCAACTGTGTTTATGTGAATACTCGTCAAAATGGACAATTCGACATAATTTTGTGTGTAATTCTCCGTTCATGTGACGCGAGAGAGTACTCGCACGCTGTGAGGCGCATTCTGTGTGTGTGCTTCAGTGTCTGCGCTCAGAAAACTGGACCGAACTGAGTTCTCTCTTGCGTCGTCAGATTTATCCATATGTCTGCTCTTCTCTTACTCCCACATATTGACATTTTTTAACGTTTTACGAGACGTGCAGCAAGTGTATGTTAGCTTATGTCCCACCGGTTCATGTATGCATCTAACATCCTAACCACGCAGCAGATTCGTTCTGAATGAATCTCTTCCCAAATCGACCCTCCCTAACATTTTCTTCTCGTTTTTATTCGTTGACAAAAATGTCAATAGATTTTCGTCATAGTTTTTTTTCATTCAAAAAGAGTTTTAGTTCGTTACGGTCTCATTGTATAAATCTCGTTCATGAAAATTATGACACAAATTATTCGTCAACAAAATTAACACTGGTCTATACATTACTTTTATTTCTATGTTTGTGCAGATGCCAATTTAATTTTTTTTTTTTTTTTTTTTGTACTATTTTTAAACTTTGTCTTTGTACTTAAAAGTCTGCCATCAATTTCTCTTTTTTAAGTGAGGGACTGCCTCTAAAATGAGTGGCCATGAAAAAAGAGAAGATGAGGGCACTGCCTCTAAAATGTGTTCTCCATCTCCTGGATCATGCTGCATGTCTTCGAGCGATGAAAATATAAGCAGTCTGCCCTCTGCATCCAATGATGCAACAGTGACCTCTGACCTCAGGTAAGGCACTGCCCCATTTTAGCATTGGCAGATTATTTTATCCAAAGTGATGTACAATGCATTCCAGAAGCCTGTCATCAGTGATGAGTCCTATCTCGTAACACAATTACAGAGAGACACAGAATAATTTTCCCAAATCTTCACTTTCACAATCACAGGACGGGACCATCTCAAGGCATAGGCAAAAAATCACTTTCCAGACCCTATCACTGGATTGCTCTGTTTTATTCTTTATTTGTACACCATCTTAAGAAAAGCATCTGTTAAATCTGCAGTGCATTCAAGCTATACAGTATGTATGTGTAAAATGCCATTATGTTTGCCTTTTGTCAGCATCAGTAGGAGGAGACCGAGATCAGAGTCTCCAGAACCCAGTGGTGTATCTGTGAAGAGTGACGGATCTATGGACAAACCTCTTGGATTCAGTGGTGCAGTGACCTCTGATCCTCTGTTAGTATAAGCATTTACTTGCTAATTAACTGTAGTGCATCGTAGATGAATAATATAAAAGGTAAGAAATAACATCACTCAGTGAGTGATGATTCCTATCTCGTGACACAATTACAGAGAGACACAGAATAATTTTCCCAAATCTTCACTTTCACAATCACAGGACGGGACCATCTCAATGCATAGGCAAAAATCACTTTCCAGACCCTATCACTGGATTGCTCCGTTTTATTCTTTATTTGTAAATTGTCTTAAATAAAATAATCTGTTAAATGAATAATTTTAAATGTAAATCTGCAGTGCATTCAAGCTATACAGTATGTATGTGTAAAATGCCATTATGTTTGCCTTTTGTCATCATCAGCAGGAAGAGACAGAGATCAGAGTCTCCAGAACCCAGTGGTGTATCTGTGAAGAGTGACGGATCTATGGACAAACCTCTTGGATTCAGTGGTGCAGTGACCTCTGATCCTCTGTTAGTATAAACATTTTCTTGCTAATTAACTGTAGTGCATCGTAGATTAATAATATAAAAGGTAAGAAATAACATCACTCAGTGAGTGATGATTCCTATCTCGTGACACAATTACAGAGAGACACAGAATCATTTTCCCAAATCTTCACTTTCACAATCACAGGACGGGACCATCTCAATGCATAGGCAAAAATCACTTTCCAGACCCTATCACTGGATTGCTCTGTTTTATTCTTTATTTGTACACCATCTTAAGAAAAGCATCTGTTAAATCTGCAGTGCATTCAAGCTATACAGTATGTATGTGTAAAATGCCGTTATGTTTGCCTTTTGTCATC